AATAGCAATAAAACTCATTTGACCCCTGTGATATCTCCTTGGGATTGCCTTTTCTTTCCACACTGTCATCTACCTGTTTATATCCCTTAAGCTTCATTTCCCCACTATTTTTCTGTTTTGTCTTAAGCAGAACTTCCTCTAAGAATAGCCTTACTTCAAATATTGTAATGCCCCCTCCCCTGCCAATAGACAGACACTTAGGACAGTGTCCCTCTTATGTAGTCATTGTGTTGGAGGCAAGTTCCTTCAGTCTTTACATATTTATAACACCACCTCTTATATCCAGTCTGCCCTGGTGAATTTGGATGCAACTCACATACTTTTCTCAGAGCTTCCAAAGCAATATGGACAGCGGTGTATGGGTTGATAGTGAGGACTTGCTTGTGCACTCCCTGCGCATTTTGAATGACTAATTTTGTGTATAGCGTTACTTAGATGTTACTGAAAGTTCATAGAGGATGGAGATGGTTGATGCAGAACTTTGTGGTTTGAATGATATCACAAAGATGAATACAAACTATCTAAGACATAGTTTTGCTTATTTAAATGATCGATCTTTTTGCCTGTTTTAAACATTTTTAGTTAAATAAGAGTTTAGAACTTCAAGGCTTTTGGTATCCATACAAAAGCTTCGTTTTGGGGGTGGTATGAGACAGAAGAAGCCTTCCTGCATTTAAATGATCTCAGCTTTTTACCTGGGAATTTCCCTTTTCAGAAACCATCGCATAATCATAGCATAGAAATGCTATAATTTCTGTTCTGATAGTTATTAACTATCATTCTTTACTTACCTGGTCATGCCGGATCTTTTTTATAGAGAGGTTTTTATCTTCTGATCTGTTATCTGCCCATATGCTTTTACTTCTGTCAGAAGATTCATTCAATTTCGGTAACCAAATCAGATGCGTAAATCCATTTGGAAGTGCAGAGTGATTTACATTAAATGAAGCTTTGCTTTAAATTATTTTTGGTGTGAACCACATCTGTAGGCTTAGATACCAGAACCAGAAGACACTATCTTGTGTGGTAAAGACATTCCCAGGTCTCAATGAATCTATGCAATTTCATAGATCAGACATTTAAAGGAAATGTTACCAACCTTCTAAGTGAATATACTACATATGCTGAACTTTTAAAATGGCACTTTTGTCTTTCAGAGCTACTGTTTTTATGTAATAGAGAATTAATAATTTTAATTTTGAATGTTTGTCTGTATATATTTATCTGCATTGAAATATTATGGAAAAGATCAATTTTTCTTGGTACAGAGAAAAAAAGTTTGAAAGTCTTGAAAATCTTTTGAAGGTGTCAAGAGTCAGAAAGAAGTAGAAAAAAATCTTTGAAAAAACTGAGGGGACTTCTGGAACATCAGATTCATTGTTCCCAGACTGCCTAGGAACAGGAGATACATCGAGATGCAACGTGAGATTAAGTGTAGACTAGTTTAGTTACAAGTAACAGGTATATATGTACTTTGGACAGGGAAATGTTGTAGGGGGGGAAAGTACACGTAATCTGCTCTGGAAGCTACTCTATTACCTCCAAAGAGATTTTAGTGTAATTTACCTTATAATTTATTTAACTAAAGAGTTTCACTCAGTCTTATTTAGAGGGATTGGTGATACTAGAAGTTTCGATATAATGCCTCCTTAGTTGCCACTTGATCTAGAATGCAACACAAACTGTTATAGGTCTTGAAATCCAGTATGGTCTTCTTCAGTTGCTTTTAACATGAAAGTAATGATATGGTCATTGGAGGTTTCCCTTTTCAGGGAAGGACATAATCCTTGCATGAAGCCATGTAGGAACTGCAGCCAGAGACAACTTCAGGGTTTGGGGCAGTTTGCTTTGATGAAGAAAGATAATTTGTATTATTGTTTTGTTCTAGTAAAACAACTTCCAATAATGAAAATCTCAGTCAGTATCATGTAACACCTCTCCCAAAGATGATCTGAAGTAGACGCAAAGCCCACAGAAAATTGCACATCATTAATTGATCTTTACTTCTCATGATTGCTCCTTTCTAGTGGCAATTTCGTGCATGTTCCCTGGCAAGATGTGTCTATAATTAAACTCGACCTGTCTCAATATGAGTAAAGAGATTGGTTTTATCTCCTCTCATGGGAGTTACACTGGAAACGAACTTGGGAGGAGGTGATACATCATGTTCTCCAGAAGGATTTGCACATACTCTTCATGTTAGAATCCATAAGGAAATGATTCTTTGTTCAGTCATTAAAATGTGTTCCTCTATGGGATAAATGAGTCTATATGTTCTGGAAGACATTCAGAAATTGCTATATTGAATTTAGCAGTAGTTACTGTAGTTGTAAGCCGGATGAGACTAGATGAAGGCAAAAAAGGTCCACTAGGAAAAATTTTCTCAGTAGCTTTGAGTGTCTTTAACCCTAAGGAGGTGTGGTGGTTTTACCTGCTATGCAGATGAGCTCCACCACAACTGTGCTCTCAAAAAGAAAAAAGGAAAAAAAAAAAAAAAGGAGAAAATACAATGGAAAGGGCTCAAGTTTTGATATAAGGACAGGCAGTAATTTATGTAATTTATTGCCTATCGCTAGTGGACTAGAACAGTGAGAAACTAAAAGCAAACTAACACCTACCCCCCATTCACCCTCTTCCATCTCCTCCCCCTGAGCAGCACAGTGCAGGGGAACAGCAAATGGGGGCTGTGGTTGGTCCCTAATGCTTTGTCTCTGCCGCTCCTTCATGGTCATGCTCTGCCCCTGCTCCATGTGGGGTCCCTCCCACAGGATGCTATCCTTCCCGAACTGAGCCTGTGGGGGCAGCCCACAGCCAGCAGCTCTTCAAGAACTGTTCCCACATGGGTCGGTCCCACAGGAGCAAACGGCTCCAGCACGGGTCTCCCATAAGCAGCAGCTCCCCCCAGACCTCCTGCTCCTGTGTGGGCTCCTCTCCACGGGCTGCAGCTCCAGCCTGGGGCCTGCTCCTGTGGGTGCTGTCCATGGGCTGCAGCCTCCTCCAGGTCACATCCACCTTCTCCACTGGGAGCTCCTCCACAGGCTGCAGCGTGGAGATCTGCTCCGTGTGGGACTCATGGGCTGCAGGGGGACAGCCTGTTCCACCAGGGGCCTCTCCACAGGCCACAGGGGAACTGCTGCATTCCTGGAGCACCTCCTGCCCTCCTGCTGCACTGACCTTGGTGTCTGAAGGGCTGGTTCTCACTCCTTTCTCCCAGCACTTGTTACACAGTAATTTTGTTTGTTTGTTTGTTTTTGTTTTGTTTTGTTTTTTCCTTCCTTAACTTTGCTCTCCCAGAGGCCCAATCAGTGTTGCTCCCTGGCTTGGCTTTGGCCAGCACTGGGTCCCGCTGGAGCTGGCTCTGATCTGATATGGGGCAGCTGCTGGGCTCTGCTCACAGAGAGAGCCCTGCAGCCTCCATGCTAGCAAAACCTAGCCAAATAAACCCAAGACAGGAGCATGTAGCTTCTGTCCTAAAGCAGAATAAATGGTGTATATCATGCATTAGGTGGTTTTGTTTTCCACTTTTCACATAGTAAGAACATAAAAAATCTACTGGATAGTGGTCTGTCAAGCCTGGGAGTGTCTCCAGCTCACTGTCCCTGGCGTTGGAAAAGGAATGCTATTTAAAGACTAAGCAAACTGGCTAATCTTTAAGTCCTTTCCCTTAGTATTCCTCAGTATTCAAAGTTAATGTGTTAGGGATGGTGGCAAGTGTATACCCATCTAGTCGTTTTAGTATCTATATACTGTCCACAAATTTGCCTAGCCCCTTTCTGAACCCGCTGACACTATGTCCAAACCACTTATGTTCATCTGTTAGCAAGATGGCAACCGTCTTTCCACATACCTTTTTTAACTGTTCTCCTGTTAGTGTCATCAAGTATCCCTATTTCTAGTATTATGAAATTCTGTTAGCAGTGCAACACGAAGTTGGATATGTGTACAGCAAGTTTGATATAGCAACAGAATAGTTTTATCTTTCTATTAAAATAGCAACAGCAACAAAAAGTCTTTTTTGTATTGTTTGTAGGGGTGGTACTGAACGGAGCATTTCATTATGCTATCTGCAGTGCAGATAAATCTTTTTCCTGTCTAACTATTTTACAAGCCAGAATTCTATTTCAAAACAGACATGATAAATATATGTATGTTGTAATTGTAATTAAGAAGGTAAGGTTACGATCAGTTTAATTGTATTTTAGTTTCAATATTGCTCATTGTCCTATTGTGAATCAAGTTCTGAAGCAGAAATAAGTTGGTTAGAATGTAACATTTAAAAATGCAGAGGCATTTAGGAGAGAATGTTGCTGACAACCTATATAATATGTGAATGAAGCAATCAGATGGAGATTGGAAATGAAATGACAGCCTTCAACAAGGAACAGGAAATTAAGGCAATGGTTTCACTGTAGCAGAGAAGGCTCTATTTTACAGGAGAGTTTGTGCCCCTTTTAAACCATGAGACATTACTGTGGCAATATACCAGCTGTTAACAAAGCAAAGTGGTAATGTCCAAGTATTCAATAAATATGACATTGCATTTTTAAACAATTAATAGTCTGGAAATGAGATGACATGAGATGACATTGACTGCTTGATTCTCTTCCAAAAGCATTGTGTAGACATCTTTTGTTATTGGTCCTTCACTTCCTGTATGTTCTAAGAAAAATAATTGAGTATACCAAAAAATAAAGTGGTGACAAAATTTATTTTCTCTTTTGTACTTCATACATATATAGACGATTTATATTTTAATATTGACCACAAACATGGTAACACTGGTTGTTTCTAATGATAGCAAATCGTATGTGTCTGGTTTTAGTCAGTTTAATCAAAAGCCATTTTTCCTGACTTTCTGCGATCATATACATGTGGACTGGAACTTAAGAGCTTTACAAATATTTAGTGACTTTGCTTGTTGCAATGAACAGCATTTTTCTGTAGGAGTTCATGTTTGTCTGTGTATGTGCACTGAAAATTGTAATGCTCTCTTACTACAGCTTTTGCAAGCAAGAAAAGCTGCCAATTACATTCCAGTCCTGTGTCATCACAAAGGAGTGCCAGGTGTCAGAGTGGTCAGAATGGACCCCCTGCTCCAAAACCTGCTTTGACATGACAACCCCTAAAGGGAATCGTACAAGATCACGGACCATTAAACAGCTCCCTATTGGCAGTGAAAGTGAATGCCCGCAATTAGAAGAAACAGAGCAATGCATTTCTCAAGGAGATGGTGTAGCACCATGCATTACGTAAGTTGGTTCATTTCAGTTCACCCTACACTAAAATGAAGAATTTCAGTTAGGCGTGCAGGGTTGGTAATATCAACCAAATCGCTATTAAGGTACTGTAGAAATAATAGGTTTGATTTTTATATCCTTTGCATACTTAGTGCTCTCCTTAGGAGCCCAAAGTCTGTAAATTGTAGCTATTATAGTGAAATTACATCTTTTTTTCAAGTACAGGAAAAAATAACAAATACTTATTTTTTCATTAGTGTTCACTTATAAAAGATAATGTGTTTGTGTGTACACAGGCAGAGTCACGAATGTAATAAATTAATTGTATTAATTTGTCAGTGATCTCCCTACACAACGTTTCTGCCAGTATCATTTTCTGAAGTATTCTGTTGGCAGACAAAATGCCATAGGAAAGGGCTGATAAATACTGATTTAGAAGCTAGTCTTTTCAGAAAGACTCTTCTTAGCACAATAAAAGCAGGACTGGGCCCCACATGTAAAGTGGGAGAGGCTAGCACTTGTGGTAAATAAAATAACCCTCTTTAAAGTTTAGAAGAAATGACAGCAGGCGCTTCAAATTCAAGAAAGAGCAGTAATCCTTATCAACTAATCAAGATTAATATTAAAGTCCCAACTGTGCTTTTTCTTTATCAGACTAGCAAGAGGGTTTGGGTAAATGTCATTTGATGTTAAGCCATTTTGCATCTGCATCTTTGACTGCAGTTTATATTTTTTTTTTCATTTAAGAGTTGAAATGTCATCTTTACCCATCTCCAAGCCACGTTGGGAAGCAGTTCACTTGATTTAGCTTTAAAGTGCTTGTTGGGTAAAGAATTCTGTGGCATTTCTTGTGGTTCATAATCCTGCTTGGGATTTTAACTCAGAGTCACAGATCTTCTTTCCTGTGCACTCACTGATTAGAAAGCTCACAGCTTCTCATCATTCATCATTCACCCAGCAGGGATGCTTCAGCACTGCAGAGAAACCATCTTCCTCTTGACAGTGAAAAAAGAACTTACTGAAATGATTTCTGTAATGATAATAAAAAATAAAATAAAATTATATTTTTTACCTTCATATTCAGGAGAAACTTCTGTCTCTTTTATCAAAAACGAATTAGAGACTCTTGTTTTTGTTTCGTTTGTTTGTTTGTTTTTGTTTTTTTTTTTTTGATTGTTTGTTTGGAATTAGCTTGGCGTTTTTATTTTTCACTCTTTTTTTTCTGGCTCTTATGTTTCTCAGCATGCACATTTCTTTGATATTTTGGTTTTGTTTCATATAAATTGTCTAGCTCTAAACAAATGTCAAGAGTCACTATCATTACAGTTAGCTTATCTGAACACAGACCTGTATCTTTCTGTATATAAAGCTTTTCTTACTTCCAATATAATATTCATATGTGCAGTATGTTTCAGGAATTGAACAGGAAAGATCTTCCCAAAAAAGTCATGATTTCAAAAGTCAAATAACTGAGGAAATGTTTCCACCCACATAAAACATCAAACAATGCATCTGTGTGCAAGCAACTCTGGAAGTCAGGCCTTTTGTAAAATACGTAAAGATATTAAGGCATTTTGGCTTGTATAACAACATCATGTGAAAGGGCTTCATTTTTGAAAACCTGATTCACCCAATTTGATCTAGGTATGGCTGGCGGACCACAGAGTGGACAGAATGCCGCGTTGATCCTCTACTCAGCCAACAGGATAAAAGGCGAGGAAATCAGACAGCACTGTGTGGAGGTGGCATTCAAACCCGGGAAATCTACTGTGTGCAAGCTAATGAAAATCTCCTCTCCTATTTAAATACCCTCAAGGAAAAAGAAGGTAAATTTGATTTGCTTGCAATTGAATTAGTGTGAAATCAGAGCACTTCAGCATTCCAGTGCTCCTTGACAGTCATTGTCTTTTGTCATGAGTGCCTTGTTATGTTACAGGTTACTGTTATCTAAGCTTATATGAAAGCTAGTTCAAAAGAAAATATTTAATTGCAGGAGCAGAGATGTCATTCTCTGTGCTGGAAATGTTGATTCCTAGCTGTTAATTACTTTCCCTTAATATTTATTGAAAATTATTGTCTTATGTGAAGGACATCTCTCAATAAGAAAACACATCGGAATGTAGGTCAGGTATCCTAGTTTTGGTTCCTTCATTTACTGTAGATCTCCAGTGTGTCCTTGAGGTGGATGATGTACACATGAGGTTTGATGTGCAGATGGAATATGTCAATTACGGAATGTAAACACAATATAGAAATGTGTAAAAATATGACTACATTTAATTCTCAAGAAACTGATTTTTCTTTTCTTGATTTGGTTAAGTTCTTAAGTCACTTTGAGGACCTTAGGCCAATATAATTTCATGGGTTTGTTTCCCAAACTGAAAGAGAGAAGTGATTATTCTTTGTCACTGTTGCATCTTGTAGAACTTCGTAAGAAAAGAGAGAACAGTTTAGGAGAAATATTAGTTAATTATTTCAGTAATATAATTTCTGAAGAAAACTTGAGTATTTTATGTTACTTCTGCATAATAATACATCACTATAAATTTAGAAACCACAGTGACTTAAGCTGAGTACATTTAGCTCATTATGTTTTATCTTATCTATTCTATTCTATTTTCTACAAACACACAAGAGTATTAAAAAAAGAAAAAGAAAAAAAGAAAAAGAAATACAGCCACATACTCAAGGAAAAGGGACATCCTTACAAGAGACATGTATAAAGCAGCATCTAGAGCAGAGCTGAGCAAGGGGCAGGCTAGTGAGGTTTCTGCTGGGGGTTAAAGGCACTCTCCAACAGTTAGTGGTGAGTATTACCACCAACATCCTTTTCAGCATGAGTGTTTGGACCAGTAGGATTCCATGTCTGTATTTATTAAAGAAGGACTTTTCCAGCTACTTCATCTAATATACATGAAAACATACAGAGGCTTTTAGTAAATCACCTCTGCGGAACAAAGTTTAGGTGCCCCTGCCTCAGAGTAAAGGAGTTAAAACTCTCAGCTAAAGAGAGGTAACAATGAAATCCAAGGCAGCTTACTGTTCAGTATGGTGATTAGGATTTGGATATGCTGTGATGTCTCGCCAGCTTAGGCGGGTGTGAAATCGGCCCTTATCAGAGTGTGACAGGAAGGCGCAGAGCCCATCCAGAGGTAATCTCTGCAGGCCTCCAAAAGCTGATTAAAATGTAACTCTTCTTTGGATGCATAAACATGAGAACGTTTTTTCAAGACCTCAAACTCAGGGCAAAGTGGGTCTTTTCTTAAAGAGCAGATTTGGGGTGTTTCTGTATGAGGGGGCAGGGTTAAAAGGCTCTGCTTCTCCCCTCCTCCCTGCTCTCCTCACACCTCAGATTCAGGGCAGGCCAGAGCTGCTCCAGCACTCACTTCTGTGAAACAACCAAACCAATACCTCTTGAAATGACAATTTGTACGCTAGGGGTAATTTGAGAATGGATCAAAGCCAGGGAGACACCTACCAGCATTAGCCATGGGGAAACGCCTTCATTTCAGTGCAGTTTGCTGTTGGTGTTAATTCTGTCTCAGTAAGGCTGCTTTGAAGACCTCTATTTTTGCATACTCATGATGGCGTTTCCCTGCTATTTCAGAAATTCAGTCACAGAGCAAGTCGAAGGCTAGTGCTGCACCTCTGCTATCGATCACTTTTGAAATAACAGGTAGGTAAATGAAGGCTTCTGACCTGGCCTTTCAATCAAAAGTGTTCCAAGAAGGCAATAATGTCCCTTTTGGGGACCTATGTTGGCTGTATGTATATAATTGACATGTTTATGTAGATTTAAAATAGTTTAATGAATTTGTGCATTCTCAGAAAAGTTAAGAACAATTTGAAAGTGACAGGCTTGAATTTAAACTGATGAAGTTCATTAGCCAACTAGGAAGCTCAAAACTACCCTGCAGTCACTCCTGAACCAATTCAGCAAGTGACCGATGTACCCGCAGTCACTTGGGAATTACTTCATTGCTATTTCTTATCCTTTTTGTGGAATTACAACACCGAGCTAGGGCTCCAGTAAGAACTTTACCTTTTAAGACTTGCCTTAACCACAATTCCCTAAAGCATTCCAATCTATATTATCACCTATCAGAATTTATAAATGTAGGGTTAAGGAAGGGGCTGGAATGCAGGGTGAAGTAATTAGACAGATGATAGTCGAGACTCCTAGAGGCCATTGTCATTCTTCCATCTACTTGCCACTAACTTTATTGTTCCATGTCTTCACCTGTCCATCTAACTGGTTTAGTCATGAAGCTTCTCTCACAACAAACCTGTGAGATAGACTGTGTCATCTTTTTCCAAGTACCTTTAAAATTCACACTGTAGAAAAAGGATGGAAGGACAGTACCTTTATGAGTAGAAATTTATTATACATCTACAAACACACACTCCTTGTCCAGTTAAACTCAGAGGAACAGGCTACGTAGACGGAATTGTGTAGAGGATCAGGTCCTGAATCACCTCCAGTCTTCTGAAGACACCATTCAGCACTTTTGGAAAAAAGGGAAAAAATGTGTGTTCTTTCATTGCTGATCATAATAAGTTTTAAGATTGTGTTTTTCTTGCCTTTTTGGAGTGAGAACACTTCAGCTGGGGAGATTTCCTTTTGTTGATTGCTGTGTAAGCAGTGCAGACCAGAAAGAGGAAAATGAAATTGTCTCTCCTTATGCTTATGCAGCCACACATTCTCTCTCTCCAGCCTGGTCACCAGTGCCACTGGGTCACTGTTCTATTGATGGTTCCTGGAGAAGAATGTCGAGGTTGAGAGCTTGAAAAATGTAGCAAAAGCTAAAGAACAGAACTGTGTCAGTTATTTTTAAAATGTAGGCCTGTGGGGTCTGAATATCCTATTTTTTTCACTCTTTTTTTAGTTAGGGGCCTATTCCAGCACTGAAGAGCCCAGAGGTGGTCTCCTTGTCTATGTCACGGAGACTGTAATTCATTCCTTACCAGAAAACTGGAGCTGATAGAATGCTTTAGGAATAGGCCAAGTGACTTAAGAATAAACCAAAAAAAAATTTGTTTTGTTTTTCAGTTTCTCCCATTTTTTAAAGTCTATTTTCTTAGTTATGTTGAAGAAGAAAAAGTAATTTTCAAAATGCATTCACTTTTCTCTCTATTTTGGCCAAATTTGAATCAAATTCTACACAGAGCTTGTAGTATTACAAACGATCTAATCAGCATTCAGCATCACGGTCAAGGAATAAAGAACAACTTTTATACCTTACACAAAAGAATATGAAAAGACAGAGATAAGATAAGAGTTTAAACTGTAAATTTCTGCATCCAGCATCATCATCTCTGAAAGTATCTTTGCTGAACACTAAGCAGCAAAATCTGAGCTCATTTATACTAAAATAGCTTTTCTGTCTCACTGTTTAATTCATTTGTTTTAAAAACAACACACAACAGACCTTTTGTCAGACCTTTGGACATCATTGATGTGCTGAAACCCAACATTTCAAAAACATTTCAGTATTTTGAGATTTATTGATACAACTTACCTGTCCTCAGAGGACTTCTTCCTTCTCCTACACTCTATGAATGATGGAAAAGGCAGATATTGTCAGCACGTGTCTTCATTAAAAGTTTAATTAACAATGTTTGCTGACAAGACATGGAATTCTTACTGGACAAATACCTACAAAAATTTGAAGTAGTATTCTTAGTTGAAATAGTATCCTTCTTGCATAAGTTCGTCTCTTTAAAACAGTAACAATTCTTCATATTTTGGATGAATACAACTGTCACAAAGTTGGTTGAAGCTAAATGGATTGCTACAGCAGCACAGTAGCATCTTCTTTTTTGCAGATTCTTAAAAAATAATAATAATAAATGGCTGAGATATGGAACATCTGTGATATGAAAATCTGCTATTTTAAGCTTCCTGACAAAAGGTCTTTGTTGTTTTTCTGAGTGCCATCCTGTGAACTAGTGTAATGGTAAGTGCTTTATCCTGATGCAACTGGAGATGAAGCAAGGCATTATTCTGAATGCTTTTCCTTGTTCCCTGAAGCAAGACTGTGTCTCAGGGGTGTAATTGACCCTTAATTTCAACTGTCTCACTTGGGCAATTTCCTGATTAAATCAAAGTTAAAAAGTACGGTTAGCAATTACTTTTTTTTCTTTTTTTTTCCTTTTTTTTTTTTTTTAATTTATTTTCCTATAAACTATTCACTGCAAACTCAATTAGTGGCAAATTACGTTTATTTATATTCATGTTCTACAGGAGATATGCATACTATGTTGATCGTCATGCATGTTAGATGTGCATGTCAAACTTATTGTAAAATTCAGTGTTCTGTCATAAAGTTTAGTTCCAATGTAGCATTATGCAAATGTTTGAATAATTTTTCCTCTATTATTTTGTGTTAAGAGATTGGTGAGCTGGAGGCAGTAATGTTTAATGACTATTTGCCATATGCACCAAGGGAGGCAAGACAGGAAACTAGATTAAGGATACTGATCTATTTTCATTCCCTTTTCCTCTTAAAAAGTAAGAATCAAGTGTTTTTTCTGTAACTGGAAGGATCATCTTTTTAGAAAGTCTGAATGGAAAGAGAGACACATCTACAAATACTTCAACAACTTGATGTTTAATTTCAAATTATATCTGTTGTTATTTTGTCAACCTTGCCTCATTTGAGTAACAACTTATTTTAGAATATGTTCAATCACAAAGCTGTTTCCATCAAGAGACTTATTTGTAGGTGTGGCAGAAAATTGCTGAGGTCACTGTTCTGTAGAGGAGTCCTTAGAGAATAGGATGAGAGTGTTTTATATTTAGTAATTACATGTTTCCTCAGTCAGCCAAAGAGAAGAACATGACAAACATCACTTTGCATTCTAGTAGACATTCTCTGCTTAGCTTAATGTCTTGCCAAATTCTGTATTTTGAAAAAGGGTTAAAATCTTGCTTGTAATAAATGGTATGCTTCAGTTTAGAGTTCTGTGACTTCATCTGGCACCTTACAGAGGTGTCCAATTGTTTGCATAACCCAGGAATTGAAAAGAGAGGCCTGTAACGTATGAAAGATGCAGGGTGGTATGGGTCTGTTACAAGCCTTTACACATTTTTAAAAAACAGAATATTCTGCCTTCACAGATGTCTTTATAGGCTAATAATACATTCATGAAAAGTCAGTTATTTCATGCAGAGTTTTTTTTATATATATATATTGCATATATGTGTTATATGCAAACATATACTTGTGTAAAACAAAGCCTTTCTTGAAATGAAAATGCTATTGCACAAGATCTTACTGCTGAGTGTGCACTTGAAGGTCTGTAGAGTAAAAGAAAAACAAAATTTTGTCTTCAGTTTAACTGTTTCAAGTTATAGCTTAAAAATAATCTTCTAAATATTCATTAACTATGCTTTTGAAGTTATAATATCATATAGGAGCAAAGGGATTTATACAGTTTTTGTTCAGTTTCTTCAGTGAAGAAATGAGACAGCAGGACATCAATTTACACAGCAATGTGAACAACCGTTGTAACATAATCTGTCCATTAAATGAAAGGACTAGGTCCAAGAGGGTGCTGCTACAGTCTTCCTGATTCCATGTAATTGGATTTGGCTCTGTTCATGCAGAGAGTTAACTGACTTCTGTTTCATTTTTTCAAGGCAGGCATTTTGCTATCACTTCATTGGATTAAAATGATGAGATAGCAGCCCTTCCAAATGAAGGATGGTTCTGTCGATTTAGAAACGAGTATCATGTCTGGTGACATGTGAGAAAAGTGTTGACTTTGTTTTGACAGCCTCGAGGCCGGTCGACCGTAAGCTGTGTACAGGACCCCTTCCAAGCACCTCCCAGCTGTGCCATATCCCCTGTCCTATAGAGTGTGAGACCTCGGCATGGTCAGCCTGGGGACCATGCACCTATGAAAGCTGTGATGACCCTCAGGCCAAGAAGGGTATGTAAAATTTAGTGGAGCATTTTAGATGACAATTATTTCATAATCCTAGGTCACTAGGCATCTCTGTCTATGCAAGCATCCTAATATGTGGTGTATCCAGTGCCTCTGTGCACCAAAAATGTCATCAAATTAGGACTATGTTTAGCATCACTGCTCCAGCAAAGCTGGCAAAAATGTGAAATGATTACTAGGCTCTCAAGGTTAATTCGGGTTGTTACAGGGCAATTCCAGTTTCAACTCTCAAACTAAAGGGGATACAGTTTGAATATGCATGCCAATCACAGTTCAGTCACTGTCTTGAAAGGAGGACAGAAGCAGCCTTTGAGATGGATAGTGTCCAAGTCACTCAAAGATACACAGTTCAGTGATAACTTAAGAATTCACTGGTAGACATACAGTCCCTGACTGGTAGACAACATTCCCTGACAAAGAGCTGGGATCATTCACTGTTGACAAGCAACACCATTTTACTGATAATGGTACATATGTGCTTGTTTCAGTTTTCACATATGGTTTACGGTTCATTCCTATACAAAGCACATTGTAGTAACATGACATCAAAAGAAGAAAGCAAGAATACAGGAGCAAGGAACACGTAAAAAGTCTATGGGTTTCTGGCTATAAATAAGAAAAACTGGCTAAGTCATTGCTGCAGTGTGATTATCTGACACAAGCTGAGAAACCAGATTTAGTTCCTTGATTGAAAATGGTCATAAGAAAGGGTAGCCATGTATTTTCCCTTGAAGGAATAACTGTAATTACCATGCTAGTTTGGCTCTTGGTATGCCGCTAGCTACACTTCAGTCTGGACAGCAAATGCAAGTTTTATGATGCTGTTGCAGAGTAACGTGACCCAACCTTGATCAATTCAAGAAAGAAAAAGCAGCTTGGTGTGTAAATCGATGGGATTGAGTTTCCTCTGAGTACAGTGGTCTGGTAGCCTGTTATTTCTGCTGCTGTTCTGTCACTGGAACATTTTCTACATTTTCAAGAGTAACATTTATGTTTGCAAAACTGATTTGGACCCTTGCCTAATGGAAATGTATTAGAATGTACTTTATGCAAGTCTTTAATCCCACAGATAAAAGCAGGGAAAATTACGCTTTAGTATTGAGGGTTCTGATGTGTACAGTAAGGGTTGAGTTGGAGCAAAGCTGAGGGACAAGCTGCCTGTTAAAGTTTTGTGCTGGTTCCCTGTGCAGTAGAGGAGCTCTTGGACAAAGATATTACTTTGTTTAAAATCCAAACTGACAAGAGGAAACCTCTGATAGGAGCATAAGCATTAGTTTGTATAAAAATATCATAATACTGTGTACTATTTGAATGAGAGTAGCACATTTACCTTTGTGCTACTCTGAGCTGCATTTTGTTCCCATGCTTTTGGTGTTTCAGCTATGTGATAATTGTAATATTTACTCTGGAGTCTCACTGGCTGCATGTGCTCTGCAGCACAGGTTAGCTAAACAGTTATATCCTTGTAATTCATATATACAGATATCCCTATTTGTATCTGATTGTACAGATGGGTATCATGCCTCTTTCCCCTATGTCTTGATTTCCTTTGCAAGGAAAACACATCTTCATGTACAGACACAAAACTGAACTGTGATTTGTCAAGCTCTTGGTTGCAAAGAGTAGGAATTTGCCTTTTGGTTTGCCTATTCTGTCTTCTAGTATTTGAGATGCATGTGAATTGCAGTGCTGTTGCCAACTCAGTTCTGGTGCATGTAAGAATGAAGTAGAGATGGTTTTGTGTGAATCAAGAACTGATGCTTAACAGAAATAATTGTTATAGATAAATTATTTTATATTGCTTCTCTTTGGCTGTGGCTTAATGAGTGTTTAATATGCTACTCAAAAGGGTAGTTTTACCTACCTAAGATGATCAATAAACATGAAATAGACCAAACGCAGGATATAAAAGATGTTGCATATCTTTCTGCTATAAAATGACATTCAGTATGATATTTTTCAATACTCCAGTTTATCTGTTTTACTGCAATATATTGCATTCATTCCTTATTTAACACAGATATTTTATAGTTATCATATAGTTATCATCAGCATTCTGTAAAGTATTTTCGAGAGACACATAATAATATAAAAATCAGCTTTTCATTTTTTCTTGTGCTTCCCTGGTAAACTTTCTATGTGGTTCTAGTTCTTCTGAGAAAATGATGTAAAAGTTGCATAGACCCTCCCACTCTTAGCGAAAAGGCTGTCTGCATGTTTCAGTAATGGTCCTTTACTGTCTGTCATTTGCCTCTTTTGTTGAACACTGGTGAAAGAAACAAAGTGAAAGAACACCGGTGTTCTTTGGAAATATCAGCCTTTTGTGGTAAACTGTAAACTTTTAAGTCTTAATTTTGACAAACTCTTCAATACAGAGAAAACAAAGGTGCATAGAAATATAAACATATTTTTGAAGTATCATTTACTATAATTGAATTATGAGGCATATTACCAAGCATAGGATCAATTCTTGCACATAAGTGTGTGAAAACTCTCTACTGTTTAGTTTGCATCTTGGTAAAAATTAAAGAGTTATATGCAGTGCTTTATAAATAATATTTGTGTATTACTAGCCAGCCTGAATATTGTGATAAAACAAAGTAACCTCTGAAGAGAGGTGAAAAGATGTTAGTTAAAGTAGTAGTTTCAGATGTATCTGATACACCTGTAGTTTCAGATGTACCAGAAACTACAGAAAATTATTACATGAGAAACTTTTCTGAACCCATTCAGTCTGGTTAGCATAGTCTGACTATAGAATGAATTCTTAAATATGCCACCCTGAAAGTGAGGGACAGAGTTGCTTTTAAAGACTGAAATCAATCTGGCAGGTGTCACACTGTATAATGGACTATCAGTTTTTCCTATCCAAAATGAGGTTAGATAGTCAGAAGGAATTTTGTAAGTGCTTACAAGGGAATATTGTGATGTTAATGACCAACATTTTCTTTTTTTCATAAGACTTATTGGAATTATAGTCCTTTTCTTTCCATGCCTTGCCTTTTCTGGCAAGTTAGTCTTTGTTTGTAAAGTGGTTTCACTTAATAATCCATCACGGTTAGAAAATTCCTGAAAAGACAAACAAGTTTGAGAAATGTCAACCCAGGAATCTAACCAAGATTTGTTAGATGAGATAGATCCAGCAAGAGCAAAGCATGAGAAATGAATATTGTCTCCTGAGAAGTATGTATGACTAGGACAAACAAGGGTTAAAGGCAAAGTGTACTGAATAAGCTCAAAACATGTGAAGCACTTGCTATGTTTTACTTCTTTCTGTAACAAGTTCTTCTACCTAATTATCTAGAAAGGTGATATGACATGGAGCATCTGCAGTGTTTTTTTACACAGAGTAGAAATAACAGTTCATTCAGATGGAGATAGATAAAAATCCCTTCACTTTGCATTTTATAATTGTATTATTCCACCACTTATATCTTCACGGACATTGCAGGCTTTAAACTAAGGAAACGGCGCATTACCAATGAGCCTACAGGAGGAACGGGAAACTGTCCTCACCTGCTGGAAGCCATCCCATGTGAAGAGCCCTCATGCTATGACTGGAGAATTGTGGGGCTGGAGGAGTGTGTTCCCGACAATGAGAAGCCATGTGGCCCTGGTACTCAGGTGCCTGTTGTCGTCTGTGTCAATGGTGATGGTAAGATGCTTTTTCCCATGGTCCACACCAGCTAGATTGAATATACTAACATGTAGTCTGAAAAGGTAGCAGTTTTTGTTGTTCTCAGCTTTCTTAGTTCCTTAGGACAGAGCCATCTGGAACAGCGATGTCCTTTAGTATTGGTATTGGAAGGCAGGATAGGCCTGCTAACTGCTACACACCATAGGCTTTCAAAGGTTTCTGAAGAGACTTGGAGAAATGTAAATACAAATCAGCTGTTGTTTTTCAGTAGGTCTGACTCATGCCTGCAATGACTTGACTGAATTCCCTGATGTAATTCAACTAACAAATCTGATCTACTGAAGCCAAAACCAAATAAAGTGTGAATAAAGACACATTGCAGTAAGGATAGCTGGAAGAAAAATAGTAATGTGTTTATTAAAAAACTTAGTTTGATGTGTGTTATGAAGCTGATTTGACAGTCCAGGCTGTCCCTCTTCTTCAGGAGGTCACAAAGAATATCACCATTATTCAATTATCCTTCTGTGAGGGAAAACAGATTTTGCACGACATAGTCATAAAAGCCAATTTTGAAAGCAGCTTACAAAATACTCTTATCTACGGAAAATTCATGATTAATGTTGGGAGAATATTCCTTATTCATTAGTAGTATTATAGTCTACTCAAGAACAGCATATGAATTACAATAATTATACTGACTACAGTGTAGTTATGCTAACAGACTTCTAACTCTCTGTAGAGAATTAAAGGGACACCTCTGGTGTTTAACAGCTGCACAAAACATTTTGTAATTAGATTGGTCAGAAGTAGTCAGAGGTGATTACAAAGAGATTTAAACCGTGAGCTTTCATGCTCAAGAACTTGGGTCATAATTGAGTTTTGGGGCTTATACTGAAAACCTCAGAGTTAATGTGTAAGCTTTATTTTTCTTCATACACCTAAGAGAAACGGTAACAATTTTTACAGCTCAGAAAGAGATTAGCTTAGAATGACAGTATTGAACCTATTATATTTTATGTCTCTTTCTCAAAAATTTCCATTCAGACAGTGTAATTGTTTCTGGCCAACACTACTGAAACTATTTTAAATTTTATTTGTAAATGTTCTCAGATGAAAAATAGCCTTTTCATCATAAGAGCATTTCACAAATAATTGTGTTTTCTTTTTTTAAACAGCAAATGAATATATAAGACAAAAAAAATATTTTTTTGCTTTACTAGATTCTGGATAATGTGATTTACCTTTGGTTTTGAGGAGTGGTATTTGCTGACTTCTAACACCTGATTAGCATAACTTCAACAGAAATTGTAATATAGATGTTTATATTAACTATAATAAATGGTAAACATTATGCCTTTGGAGCACACAAACCATCAAGCCTTTAACTGTGTTTTCTGCATGCAGTAGTTCTCTCTTCTGCTTCAAACTTGCAGGATTTGTTCTTGCAGGCAATCGGCTAGAGGGGCAGATGCGTTCTGCAGCGGAGCAGGGGATCGGACAGGCAGGGCTAATTTTTCCGGCACCGAGCCCACTCGAGGGAGACACCAGGACCAGCAGCCCTCGCGAGGGGGGTGAACGAGGCGAGAACGAGGTGTAGGTGGAGCCAGCAGCGCCCCCTCCCCAGTCTGTCCCTAAGAAGCGCGAGTGACCAGGAGTGCAGCGACCAGGACGGGCAAACAGGGCGTGGCACGTAAGAAGGCAGTTAGCACAGCAGGGCAAGCAGGAAGGGCAGAGCGCTCCCCTCTGCCCATACAAACACCTCCTTTAATGGCGGTCTGCCGCTAGCTAAGCTGTGATGTTCTCCACCAGGCACAGTGTGCTCTCCAGGAAGTCTGTACACACCCAGACCGACTGCCCGCTCAAAACTGTGGCAGTTCAGGTCTCCGGGTGCAGGGAGTGCCTGAGCCTTTTGCTACCACCTGCGGGGGAAGAGAGACTGTGCGTGAGGTGCGAGCAGGTGGATGACCTGGTCCGCCTCATGGCAGAACTCAAGGTCTGCCATGACCTTGAGAGGGGTTGAGGGATATCAGGGAGTGTGAGCAGGAGATAGACTGGTAGAGCAACTCCCTGTGTGGCCTGAAGGGCAGGCACTGGGGTGAGACACCCCAGAGGGGGTGGACCCCCTGCCCTGTTGCTGTTGGGCAGAGGCAGGGGACCTAGGAGTTGAGGAGGAATGGAGACAGGTCCCTGCTCGACATTGCAGGCGATGCCCCCCCCCCCACCAGCCCAAACTTCCCAGGTGCCCCTATGCAACATGTTTTGAGGCCCTGGAGCTTGAGAGACCAGGAGCTGAGGAAGAGGTAGAAAGTCTACCCAGGAGGATGCCTAGAGCGAGGAAGTCGACTCCACGCCTCAGGACAGCCTCCACCAGGACAAAAAGAAGGGTGATTGTTGTGGGCGATTCCCTTCTCAGGGGAACAGAGGGACCTATTTATCGGCCTGACCCTACCCGTAGGGAATTCTGCTGCCTCCCTGGGGCCAGGGTCAGGGACATTGCCAGAAAGCTTCCCAATCTGGTTTGCCTCTGACTATTATCCTCTTTTAATAGTCCAGGCTGGCAGTGATGACATTGAAGAGAGAAGCCTGAAGACCATCTAATGGGACTTTAGGGGACTGGGACTGTTAATGGATAGAGCAGGAGTACAGGTAGTGTTTTCATCCATCCCTACAGTGGCAGGGAGGGGTATAGAGAGCACATGGAAAGCCCACCTGATAAACGCGTGGCTCAGAGGCTGGTGCCAACACAGAAATTTTGTTTTTTTCTGACCATGGGGTGCTTTACTCAGCATCTGGCCTGATGGCCGCAGACGGGTCCCTATCTGTAAGGGGAAAACGGATCCTGGGCCAGGAGCTGGCAGGGCTCATTGAGAGGGCTTTAAACTAGGTGAGAAGGGGGATGGGGCTGAAACAAGGCTTGTTAGAGCTGTGCCAGGGGGAACAATGGCAAGGCTAGGAGAGAAGGCAATGGTCCAACTGAAGTGCATCTACACCAATGCACGCAGCATGGGTAACAAACAGGAGGAGCTGGAAGCCATTGTTTGGCAGGCAGGCTACAACTTGGTTGCCATCACGGAAACGTGGTGGGACCACTCTCATGACTGGAGTTCTGCAATGTCTGGCTGTAGGCTCTTCAGAAGAGACAGGCAGCATGGGAGGGGTGGTTGTGTGGCTCTGTATATCAGAGAGAGTTTGGATGTCATGGAACTTGAGGCTGGGAATGATAAGGTTGAGTCCCTATGGGTTAGGATCAGCGGGAAGGCCAACAAGGGAAGCATCCTGGTGGGGGTCTGTTATAGACTGCTGAACCAGGATGAGGAGACTGATGAGGAGTTCTACAGGCAGCTGACAAAAGTTGTGAAATCGTTAGCGCTTGTTCTTGTGGGGGACTTCAACTTCCCAGATACATGTATATCCTGGAAGCACAACACAGCCCAGAGAAAGCAGTCTAGGAGGTTTCTGGAGAGCATGGTAGATAGCTTCCTGACACAGCTGGTTAGTGAGCCTACCAGGGGAGGTGCCCTGCTAGACCTTCTCTTCACAAACAGAGAAGGACTGGTTGGAGATGTGGTGGTTGGAAACTGTCTTGGGCAGAGTGACCATGAAATGGTAGAGTTCTCCATTCTTGAAGAAGCCAGGAAGGGGACCAATGAAACCTCTATATTGGACTTCTGGAGGGCTGACTTTGAACTGTTCAGGACACTGATTGGTAGAGTCCCTTGGGAGGTGGTTCTGAAGGGCAGAGGAGTCCAGAAATGCTGGGCGCTCTTCAAGGAGGAAACCGTAATGGCGCAGGAGCGGTCTGTCCTCACGTGCCCAAAGACAAGCCGGCAGGGAAGGAGACTGGCCTGGCTGAACAGAGAATTGTGGCTTGTGCTTAGCAGAAAAAGGAGTGTTTACATTCTTTGGAAAAGAGGGCGGGCCACTCGGGAGGACTATAAGGATGTTGCGAGGCAGTGCAGGGACAAAATTAGAAAGGCCAAAGCTCATCTGGAACTCAATCTGGCTACTGCTGTTAAAAAAAAAAAAAAAAAAAAAAAAAAAAAGAAAATGTTTTTACAGATACATCAATGAAAAACGGAGGACTAAGGAGAATCTCTAGCCTTTACTGGATGCAGGGGGCAGGGGGGAGGAACTTAGTTATGAAAGATGAGGAAAAGGCAGAGGTGCTTAATCCCTTCTTTGCCTCAGTCTTTAGCGGCAAAACTAGTTGCTCTCTGGATACCCAGTACCCTGAACTGGTGGAAGGGGATGGGGAGAAGAATGTGGCCCTCACTATCCATGAAGAAAAGGTTGGCGACCTACTACGGTACTTGGATGTACGCAAGTCGATGGGGACAGTTGGAATCCACCTGAGGATACTGAGAGAACTGGCGGAGGACCTGGCCAAGCCACTTACCGTCATTTATCAGCAGTCCTGGCTATTGGGGGAGGTCCCAGTCAACTGGCTGCATGCAAACATGACGCCCATTTACAAGAAGGGCTGGAGGGCAGCCCTGGGAAACTATGGGCCTCAGTGCCAGGGAAGCTCATGGAGCAGATTATCTTGTGTCATCACATGGCACTTACAGGGTAGTCAGGTGATCATGCCCAGTCAGCATGGGTTTATGAAAGGCAGGTCCTGCTTGACGAACCTGATCTCCTTCTATGACAAAGTGACGTGCTTGGTGGATGAGGGGGAGGCTGTGGATATGGTCTACCTTGACTTCAGCAAGGCTTTTGACACCGTTTCCCACAGCATTCTCCTCAAGAAACTGGCTGCTCTTGGCTTGGACTGGCGTACACTTTGTTGGATTAAAAACTGGCTGGATAGCCAGGCCCAAAGAGTTGTGGTGAATGGAGTTAAATCCAGTTGGAGGCTGGTCACTAGTGGCGTTCCCCAGGGCTCGGTACTGGGGCCGGTCCTCTTTAATATCTTTATTGATGGTCTGGATGAGGGCAATGAGTGCACCCTCAGTAAGTTTGCAGATGACACCAAGTTAGGTGCGTGAGTCAATCTGCTTGAGGGTAGGAAGGCTCTG